TCGCAATAAGAAAATGTAAGGTAATTTGAGTGAAAAACTAGGCAATTTATTTGGTAACACTGATTTTTTTCTGGACGGTTCCCTGCTGTCATAATGTACATAAGAAACTTGGTTCCAATAAAATACATGATACATACACGTAGTTGAAATACTAAAATCAAAAACTGTTGAATTGTTTTAGTTGAGGTTGCCTTCTTGGTATGGGGAATACGGTTATGCATTGTGGTAAGAAAGGCACCATCAGAATTCAACGAGAGCCGCTTTATTTCGATGGCAATTTACAATGAATTTTTACTTTCTCTCTTCTTGAATATTTCCATGTAAGTGCATGACTGTATAACTTTCCATACGAAATATTCTAGCATTGCAACGCTTTTTCTACATTTTTGTTTTCGGTAATTAAGGATTTTCATTTACAAGTCGGCCACTTCTTCCTTTCCTTGCTATTGCTATCTATTCAACAAAATTCTATAGGAAGCGTTTTTTTTTTTCAAGGTAAGTTAGTTTAGAATACACATAGGAGACTGGAAGTTTTCAGAAAATGGCATTAATTTTAATTAATAACTAACTTCCTCACACAGACGTAAAACTTTCCGAATTAGTCTTGTTAAGCATTAACGGCGTAACAAGGAGACAGAAAAGCAAACGTCAGAACGACCTTTATTGACTTTCTTTTATTTTAATAATTAGTTCGTATGGTTTAGACCAGGAACTGGAGTAATGCAAATCGACGTCCACCGTTCTAATCTATTTACCCACACGAGGGTTGTCACATGCGGGCCTTACAGATCGGTGAAGGGTGAAAACACATTGTGTATCGGTTGCAGAATCTAATATGTAATTAATTTCGAAGTCTATGCATTCAGCGTCAGTGCTGCAGAATCTATATGCAATCAGGCCGAATTGGTTTATCAATACACTATCTCTAACATCGAGTTACAATATAACGTATCCAATATTCAAATCTACGCCACTCTTGTGGCTTAAAACCCACCTACATATCGAAAGATACAGATATCATCCTACTACATACAAAGATATTATCGTTCTGAACTGTTTCACTGCTTTGTCATTTGGTCATAAGTTATAACATACACATTCGCCAAAGTCCATCGTTATGTCCAAGCATAAGCAACTTTTGTGTTCATTCTTTAAATTTCGTTTATTAAAGCCAAGTAGTGTCCGACCGAAAATTCGGTTTCAGTTTCGGTTTCGGTTTCGGTCGAGTTTCGGCAAAAAAACGAGTTTCGGTTTAGTTTCGGTTTCGGCGGCAAACCTGCCGAAACTACGACCGAAACCGAAACTGAGTTCGGGGTTTTCGCGCTCTGCTCGGTCATGTTCGGCGCGTTAAATTCCATCCAAGCGAAGTATACACCTATTTTAAGTATTTTTAAGGCGCAATTAAAGTATTTCCTTAAATGAGGGGTTGTTATGTTGATTTTGATTTGATTATCAATAAGTGAAAATGTCAAAGACTGCAGAGCTATGTGATTTGAAGATAAAAAAATAAAACTGACTGATTATAATAACGTTTTCTTTATTTTTCTCTCAAAACGTGATCCTTATAAGGAAGTTTCGGTTTCGGTTTCATTCGAAAGGAAGCTCGATATTAACTGTAACTTCTTGTCAAAGGCACGAGCTTAATTGCGGGTTTAGTCTGAAGAATTTGACTATCATTACGGTTAATTCTTATTTCAGTAGTCAGATCGCTTTTTAAACCTGCACATTTTACGCGACACAAACGTAAATATTAAAATTTTCCCGTGATCATAAACAACTCATCATACAATTAATTAAACCTTCCCCTCTTACGTTAAATGTAATGGATTTCAGCCGCTAAAATATACAATACCTATGCACATACTAGGTAAATAAATTACCTGAAACATGGAGAATTGGTAGCAGGTTTGTTACACTAATTAAGTATTTTAGTAGCAGTTAACGTTAAAACATACACACCAAAGTACACCATGATATACAGGCAAGGCAAAACATAGATTTTACAATTTTTTACGAATTTTCACGTCGTATTATTCAAAATATGATGCCGCCCTTTGAATATTGCATATACTTAAAATATATTCAGTTTTTATCTAACCACTGGTGTATACAAACGAATTAAAAATGTGTGGTATAGTTAAGACGATCAAAATTGGTAAAGTCCACAATAAATTATCTGTGAGGATGGACGTATCTTCTTTCTTTTTTCCACTTGGAACTGTAGTCATTTAATACGTTTTGAACACGCCCTTGTTAAGTTAGGAAATGCTTCATGACAAAGAGAAAAGAGGTAACTGAATAATAGTAAACGGTGTAGCGGTTAGAGATTACTTAAATACACAAAAAAAATCCTGAGAATGTTGAACTTTCTTTAGTGTCCGATGCCGGCAACATACTCAAATCCTGCCTGTCTGCATCTCTTTCTGTTACAAATTAATTGGTGTAATGTTATTCCATTTTCTTTACTAGTGTACGCTGCAATTCCCACTTGACATCTCTTTTCTATGTTTACGTTATTCCCTGCAACGTCTGTCGTGCGTAAAAGTAGGCGTTTAGTGTCAGCCACCGCTCTAGTCTAGTTAGTAAGTTGAAAGAAGAAAGTAAATGCGACAGTTTTATTGCGGACTTGGCCAATTTTGAACGTCGCAACTATAGTTTGCGTCGTGTGAAAACCCAATACGGTTAGCGTACGTCCGGCTCTTGTCTCCTGGACAATCCTCTCGCTTGAGGCGAAGTACCTACGCAATCCTCGGAGTCGAATATTAAGCATATTACAAATACCGATGTGTATATATATATATATACCATACCAGACAGCATTTTTTACTAGATGTCACTCTGTCATCCCGCATTTTCATTTTTCCTAATTAAAAACCTAGGTACCTGTCGCACGTTGTAACACATGATCTACCCTCTCAGTTTTGAATTTAGCTTAGAGCACATTTGCATTTTATGCTAATCCTTTTGATACATAACTCTCCGCTAAATATGATTCCGTCCCACAAATATTTTCCAGAATATTTGCACTCTTCAACCCCTTTCAGTTCACTGTTGGTGCCATACTAGTTTTAATGGTCTGTTCTAGAAAAACAACCCTCGAAGTGCCTTGAAATTACTGAATTAATACAGAATAATACATCTATAGTTCTGTTTTTATATAAAATAATAAAAAGTAATATAAGTTTGACGAAACAGCATTGTATATAAATAAATAAAAATAAAAATAAAACAAATGGTTTAGTTTGTTACCTTCACAGCGTAAATAGGGCAGCTTAAAATCGTTATTCTAAATTAAAATGTGGACTGATTTAGCCTGTTTAACCCTACGTTTCCAGAAATAAAAGGCTTATTTAGATTTTTCGTGTTGATAGTACAGTACAGGTAGTAAAGACTATTCTTTATTTTAAGTTGAATATTTATCTATTTAGCTATATATAGTTATGTTTAGTATCCATAAGGCAACAGACAGGCTCATATCACTTAACTGAATCTGCACGATAAACCCTGATTTATGTCAGTGGAATTCGATCTCCTATCCACCCTTTCCCTTTTCAAAAGCACCTCCCTAATCTGTTTTCGTTCGAATAGAAGCTGTGTTCGAAGTCCGCAGATAAACAGAATTGATCTATTAGAAAAACAGATTGCCTTCATGGTAAAGAAAATTCACTCTAGATTAAATTTGTACTTTTCACACGGAACGTCGCTATTGCAAACAACGAGGGACGCTTTCTACGGACTTCTTTTTAATTAAGTTGCTTTTTTATATTTTTCGAACAAAAATATCCCTACTTAGGTAGGTAAGTACTATTGGGATCCGTCAAATGGGAGGAGCCTAAAAACATGGCGCCGATTAGGGAAAATTTATCGTAATTCTTGTAGTGTACCGTGCAATTTCCAAGTTTTTAAATTACGATAAAATGATAAGTATTGACACAATATGTGATTGGGCTAACACAAAGCCTCGGAAAGGAAATTTCGTTGAAGGTGAGCGTGTTTTTAATNTCTACAAGAGACTCGAGTTTCTCATTTTTCACCTTTATTTATTCAGTCTCTCTGTGGGAGACTCGAATCTCTGAATTATCAATTTTATCGTTCGAGTCTCTCATACAGAAACTGTGAGAGACCCATAAAAACACCTAGGCAATCACTGAGAGACTGTGAGAGACGCTCTCAGAGACGCTGAAAGACTCTGAAAGATTCTGAGAGGCTGGGGAGAGACTGAAAATTTTTGTCTAGGGTTTTTGGAACGGTATTTTTTAATGTTTAATGCAAATTTTTTGTAATAACATGAAACTCTGGCTGATAACCAATCATAACATTAATATAAATGCAGTTTTACCAAAATCTCATTTGTGTTTTATAAATCATTAATGAAAAAATGATCAGTTGAACATTTAACATTTATGCCTATCAAAACAAACGTCATTTTAAATTCACCACAAACGAATTAATACCGTTGATAAATAATAGACGCTGTTCAATTTCGAAATATAATCCAATCCAGTGTAATTGGAATCTACAAGCTCATTAATAACTAGAAAGCGAGCAAATCACATTTCAACAAAGTATATATTACCTTACTGTCTAATTCAAACAAACAGCAAAAGCAAAGGTTGCGAAATGCATTTCAGAATTTATATTTTGAAAAGTGTTTGTCTTTGAGAAGGTATTTTACGAATCTATCTTGCCTATTTCTTATTGACTTCCCTAGAGTTCTCTGTTCTCCTATTCTTTCTAATGCCTCATCATTTCTAACCCTCTCTATCCAAGGTATCCTCATCATTAGCCTGTAACACCACATTTCGAACGCCTCTAACCTTTTCTTTTCCGCCGCGCCCACTGTCCATGTTTGGCACCCGTACAACGCCGCGCTCCAAACATACACCTTTAACAACCTTTTTCGAATTTTTAAATTAACCGCGACGATTAACCCTAACTTATTCTATATTTGAACCATATAATAGGGTAAAATAACCAACAATTATTTCTACTTGTTCCAGGTTGTCAGAGCTGCTAGTCCAGTTCTTCTAAGGGTGATAACACTGGGCGCATTTTTCATTTATTGTACGGTAAGAGAATGATATACCGATTGAGAAAGGCTTTATGTCTAGTTAAAATTCAACCAAAAGAGAGCATAGTATAAATGTAGGTATATATCTCTCTACAAAACAAAAGCATTTCTTTCCCAGTTGGTATAGTTGATAAAAATATCTATAGCGATTGTTGTTTTGTTATGTAGGTATATATAAAATTGTATACTTTGTCTCGTCGTACAAATGTTGCCTAGATTCGAAGATAAATCGCGATATTGTTATAAATAATATGACGAGATTGGCTGGATGAAAACGCAATACAGATTCTGTCTGTGTCCAATAAAAGGTGAAAGCTAAACGGATTAATTTGGCAATCACAATAAAAACTTGAAACATAAACAAGTGGAAGTAATAACCGTGATTACAGGTATCCAACCTAAACATAACCATTTTATTGCTCGTAAAATGCCGGCTATAATATGAAAGAATAAATGGCGCTATGCAGTGCAATATAACAACAACCGATTCTTAAATATATAATCTTGCTTGTGTACCCCCTAATCTTTTCAACAAAGTATCTATTATTATATATGTAGTAGCATTGTACTTGACTACACTTAAAACACACAGCAAAACGATAAATTTTTGCATGTTCTGTTCCCATCAGCTACTAATGCTGATGCCCTACACTCTAATGCAAAACCGGAGGGTAAGGCAGAGAATTGTAAAAACGTGTTACACTTCTTACAGTGTCAAACTCATTTCCGAAAGTTTGAGTTCGTCAATCGTATGTATGTCAGTGTTCTCTTTTTTTAATACCAGAAATTCTCTTTACTTGCAGAAATTAGTTTTAAAACAAATAATTAAGCAGGAAATCAAAGAGTGTTTGATGTTATAATTTTAATTGCTTGTTACACGATATTTACGGTGGAAGCGTACTAGGCATCAGCTCGAAGCGATTTTGGCTTAGTTTTATTCATAGATATTTAACGAAACTTCTGCTTTTGATAGTGAATGCTTTGATAATAGTGCTAGTCACAATTTGTGTTGCAGCAACTTAAAGTAATTGGTCTTGTGTTTAATAGCAAAACAAAGATTTGTGAAATTGGCGAACTATAGTTCAGTTAGGTAGTGCAAATTGTAATTTCTGTTGCAGACAGTTGTGATGTATCCAAGACCAAACATTTACACGTGCACAATAAGGATTTGGCTTCGAGAAATTGGATTTTCTCTGACGTACGGTGCACTGATGCTAAAGACCTGGAGGTAAGCTTACATAAATATTAACCACTTTAATGGCTCACAGGGATTAACCACTTTCTGAACATTTTACAATTTCATAAACTTCCACTTTTTCGAACAGTTTCGATTAAGTAGAGGTAATTTAGAATGAGATGAACCTTGACATTGGGTTGTAACGGATGAAATGAAGACAGAAGAGAATGAAATTTTACCTACGGAATATTACTGCCCCAGCTTTTGCCTAGGTGATCCAAGGAAATCACAGAAAAACTTGGACGACCAAGGCAGACGGACCCACCCGGAATCGAACCTGCGTCCTCCTAAATGCTAAGCCATGATGTAAACCTCTAGGCCATGCCGCTCGGTCTGTATAGAGAGGCACATAGAATCAATATTAAAATAACGCACCCGAAGGTTCATGGCACTCTAAACAGTCTGTATCCGTCATCGGAAGTTCTATAAACAGTAGAATAGCACACTGTCCTAACATTGGTTAGCTCAATTAAGATATAAATTCTTTAAAAACTTTTAGTAACGACAATCATCATTTAAAAACCGTCTTATGCCATATTAAATAATTTTTTTTGGTACTGATAAAAGAGACAGTTGTACCTACTTATTTTTCCATGACACGCATCTCCAAAAGGAAATCTTCTTAAAGCATTAGAGCAATATCATTAGTTATCTTCACGTTTCTTGGCACGCCGTTATTTAAGAACGTAAAAGTGCCATACTTCAAAAAACATAAACATAACAATGTATTGTTTAGTCTAATGATACAATTTGTTACTACCTTTGTAAAGGAAAAAAAGAAGGAAACAAAAGTAGAAGATGTTTCACAGCGAATAAAATGGGTGCCGGATCTCATGGAACACAACGTACTCTTCGCGAATATAACAAAGAAAGGCAGAATCGCCAAAGACTTTTAGGCATTGTCGTCATTCAAAAGGGCCGGACGAAATACTCTGCTTCTTTTTATTCAGAAGTTATAGCAAAGTAAACATTCGGAAAAGGCAATGTCGACTCAACTCGTTTAATACGTTTTTATCAACGACATGTGGCACGTATTCGTCTCTCTTTTTTTTTTTTTTGAAAAATGTAACATTTTAAATTTGGATATGGAATTTAAAGTGTTTTGAAATGTAACAGAATATTTATACCTATAGGGGCTATTCAAGTTTTAGATAAATACCAAAGAGGGTTGTGAGTAGTCTTGGGCGATAACGTTTTTAGTTATCGATAACAAAAAAATATCGATAATTATCGAATATATCGATACGCCTACAACTATCGATAGTTACTAATATATCAATAGTTGTCAATTGCTATTATTGTTATCGATATATCGACAATTATCGATAACTATTGATATATCGATATTTTTGCCTAGCACTAGCTGAGAGGTCTTTGCTTTGCTTATTGATCTATACGGTAATTATGTCACCAATATTTATTTATTTACTGTTTTTGGAAAATCTAGTACCTAATAGATTCTGATTTAACAAATATGGCAACCCTACCCTAGACAAAAATTTTCAGTCTCTCTCCAGTCTCTCAGAGAGCGTCTCTCACAGTTTTTCACAATCTCTCAGTTATTGCTCAGGTGTTTTTATGGATCTCTCACAGTCTCTGTATGAGGGACTCGAACGATAAAATTGATAATCCAGAGATTCCAGTTTCTCGGAGGGAGACTGAATGAATAAAATCGAAAAATTAAGAGACTTGAGTCTCCCGTAGAAAGACTGGAATCTCTGAAAGATGTTGAACTAAGAAAATTTTAACCATGTTTATCGAGACACCACTTATTGAGATTCGAATCTCTCGTTCAGACACTGGATACGAAATGAGGATCTCTCTACGAGCGACTCGAGTCTCTCGTTCAGAGACGCTAAACAGTATTTTTAACAGTCTCTTGACAGTCTCTCTCAGCGACACCAGAGAGACTATGATAGACGAAGACTAGAGTCTCGCTTTCAGAGACTCTGAGAGACCGAACATTTTTATTTCGGGATACTTATTAGTGTTGCCCAAACGCAAGAACAAGACGAGACTTAGCCAGTCTTGGTCTTGGTCTTGTGCCAATACACCTGGTCTTGGTCTTGGTCTTGGTCTTGCGCTCCCAGTCTTGGTCTTGGTCTTGGTCTTGCAGCAAGAGTCTTGCAAGTCTTGCAATTACCTATTAGTCTATTACTATTTATTAAAGTTTACTTTAAATCCTAGAAAAACGTATTAGAATTGGAACATTGTGAGCTTGAATGAATATAGCCATAGTAAAGATCAAGCAGATTAATAAATAACTGAAGATTTGATAAGAAATTCGAAAAATCAACTGACCTATATGTCGTTTTCCATGGAAGTAACTGTTTCTTAATAAACATTTATGATCCTTGCTTTCTACCGCGCCGCCTCGCCACGTGCCGGCTCTATGATAAGGATGCCGCCGCAAATCAAACAATAATATAAAGCGTGTAAAAAAATTCGAAATTATTTTGCATGAGTATACCTACACCCTATGGCGGCAATCAAATAGTGTCAAATGTTATGATTTCGGCGTGGCGGCAACGATTGTTTTAGATTTCAAAAGAAGCCGCCGGCGCGTGTATCATAACCATGTACTTCCGAAAAGCGGCAAATTTCTTTGAGAAGTAAGTACAAAACCTTTGATGCCGCATTATCAAAGTGCCGATGGTTAAAACATAACTATGCATGCACTCAGTTTGATTTTAATAATTTTTTTATTCGCTATGTTTATGGTATTAGTCGTAATGCGCATAGGTCCAGTTTTTCATATTCTTTGATACAGTTTTTTGCGTCTCATAGAATTCCTAAGCGTACCTACCTATACACCGAACTGTTACACCTAACTACTCAGTGAAATAGCGCTAAGTCCTAGCTGCAAGACGCAAGAGTCTTGCAGGCTATGTCTTGTTCTTGCTCAAGTCTTGCACGGTCAGTCTTGGTCTTGGTCTTGCTAAAAATACGCGGTCTTGTTCTTGGTCTTGGTCTTGCAAAAACGCAAGAACAAGACCAAGACTGCAAGACCAAGACTGAATTTGGGCAACATTAATACTTATCTATTCTTGAAAATATATATCAATGCTTATCTAAGCATGGGAGGGGGGGGGGTAAAAGCTTTGCTTACTTTTGCTGACATAAATTACTAAAACTCTGCTTACGTAACAGGTCCTTTAGTAAAAGGTACTTTTAAATACAGAAATTCACGTTGCCGTTTACAACGATCTAAACAAACATTAAATTCGGTATAAAACATAGCGTACTGAATAAATATTGCAAAGTGAGCAAAACACTTCCGCATTTCCGTCATCATTAAAACCCCAGATTCGTATGTGGCAGAGGTTGTCTCGTATTAACTGCAACAGAAGTGGAGTAAATTGTGAAGACACGTCATGTATGCCTAATGTCGCACAGCGAGCAACCACAGTCACGAAACGTATTTTTATTTTTATCTGTTAGTTAATTTCCCAGAAACTACCACTTTAATCACACGTATATTAACACATGCCCGGTCTTACCTGCTTGTCCTATTACATTACTCTTTATTGCAACTGTGTGAGCTTTAAATCCTTGCAAAGCTTTTCTGTATATTCTTTTTTTATTTTAATTCTTTGTTTCAGAATATCCGTAATCTTCCGAGTACGATCGGCTAAAGCAGTTAAAATAACAGACACAAATCTGTTAAAAAGGCTCGGAGTGATAGTTGCTATTTTTAGCGTGTTCCTTGTTATCAGATCTCTTGTGGCACCTCCCGTAGTTGTCGTACGACGGACTGCTGACAATTTGAAAGCTTATCTATGCCGAACCGACTGGTGGGATCACTCTTTCACAGCACGTAAGTTAAATATGAGTACCTATATTAACACTAATCATAAAACAACTGATAATATACAGTCATAGTTATATTTAAGTTCGTCCTGAATTCGAGAAAAGATACTAGGAGTAAGTGGGTAAATTAACTTAATAAATTTCTCATTTCATACATTTTTAATCTCGTCCTGCCAACTTTCAGTACAAATCAAATGGACTTGTATTTCCCCTGAATGATAAATTACGTTTGTAACTTCAAAATAAAATAAAAAACCTTCAATCTTTTTCTTTCATCTGATAAAAAACATATTGGCAACTGTAAAAAGATGAAACTCGGTTCAGAAGATTCTTTTCAATTTTATTAAAAAACCCCCGGAAAATTCGATACAAGTTGAATACTTTCTCCAAAAGGTTTTTAAAAAGTTAAAGTAAATTTTATTATCTCGAAACTTTCTTTTGATTCCGTCGGGACCAATACAACTCATTTGATTTCCAGACAAGAAAGTCACACTAAAAGAACAAACATAAAATGTAGAAAGTACAGAAACATATAATTTCTGAAATGAGCCAAACCACGTAAAAATATCATAAACTGTTGAAAACTTGTTTAAGAAAATTGTCCAAATAAACTCCGTTGACGTATAGTAGAATAGAAATAAACTAGCAACGTGAAATTTAAAAGAGCTGTATGTTTTCGTGGAACACCCGGTAGGAACGAAGTTTCTTACGCTACTAATAGGTCAACTTCCAAAGCATTTTTAAATTACTCCTACTGGATATATTCCCCAGATGTCAAACTAATAGATTCCACCTCGTTAAGTAACAGTCTCTCTGCAAGAAGCAAGTATGAAAGAGAGAGATGTCCACTGACACGTTCGATTTTTGGCTTGCGTTGTCTAGCCTAAAGAAATTTCTCCAGACGTAGGAAATTTAGAGTCAGCTTAGATAATAGGGGATCCTTATTTAATTTTTGTGTCAAATGAATTCTTGTTGTTTAAAGGTTATGTACCTTTTTACGCCAAATTATTATTTTTTTGTTTAAAAATTTGTTTCGCAATAAGAAAATGTAAGGTAATTTGAGTGAAAAACTAGGCAATTTATTTGGTAACACTGATTTTTTTCTGGACGGTTCCCTGCTGTCATAATGTACATAAGAAACTTGGTTCCAATAAAATACATGATACATACACGTAGTTGAAATACTAAAATCAAAAACTGTTGAATTGTTTTAGTTGAGGTTGCCTTCTTGGTATGGGGAATACGGTTATGCATTGTGGTAAGAAAGGCACCATCAGAATTCAACGAGAGCCGCTTTATTTCGATGGCAATTTACAATGAATTTTTACTTTCTCTCTTCTTGAATATTTCCATGTAAGTGCATGACTGTATAACTTTCCATACGAAATATTCTAGCATTGCAACGCTTTTTCTACATTTTTGTTTTCGGTAATTAAGGATTTTCATTTACAAGTCGGCCACTTCTTCCTTTCCTTGCTATTGCTATCTATTCAACAAAATTCTATAGGAAGCGTTTTTTTTTTTCAAGGTAAGTTAGTTTAGAATACACATAGGAGACTGGAAGTTTTCAGAAAATGGCATTAATTTTAATTAATAACTAACTTCCTCACACAGACGTAAAACTTTCCGAATTAGTCTTGTTAAGCATTAACGGCGTAACAAGGAGACAGAAAAGCAAACGTCAGAACGACCTTTATTGACTTTCTTTTATTTTAATAATTAGTTCGTATGGTTTAGACCAGGAACTGGAGTAATGCAAATCGACGTCCACCGTTCTAATCTATTTACCCACACGAGGGTTGTCACATGCGGGCCTTACAGATCGGTGAAGGGTGAAAACACATTGTGTATCGGTTGCAGAATCTAATATGTAATTAATTTCGAAGTCTATGCATTCAGCGTCAGTGCTGCAGAATCTATATGCAATCAGGCCGAATTGGTTTATCAATACACTATCTCTAACATCGAGTTACAATATAACGTATCCAATATTCAAATCTACGCCACTCTTGTGGCTTAAAACCCACCTACATATCGAAAGATACAGATATCATCCTACTACATACAAAGATATTATCGTTCTGAACTGTTTCACTGCTTTGTCATTTGGTCATAAGTTATAACATACACATTCGCCAAAGTCCATCGTTATGTCCAAGCATAAGCAACTTTTGTGTTCATTCTTTAAATTTCGTTTATTAAAGCCAAGTAGTGTCCGACCGAAAATTCGGTTTCAGTTTCGGTTTCGGTTTCGGTCGAGTTTCGGCAAAAAAACGAGTTTCGGTTTAGTTTCGGTTTCGGCGGCAAACCTGCCGAAACTACGACCGAAACCGAAACTGAGTTCGGGGTTTTCGCGCTCTGNCAATTTTACAATTTGCGTGCACAGTTCCTATGTAAATTTTTCCCTCATTCGAGTTATAAATTTTGCCACCAGATGGTGTATGCCCATTTGACGGATCGCAATAGTAACACGAACCTCTATAATCTATTGAAACGTTAATGTTTCCTAAAATAATTTTACATGGATATTCAGAGACATATTAGAGGCAGAAACGGAAGTTAGGAGGGGTAGAGGTAGACCTAGGTTAGATTACTGTTCGCAAATAGTTAAGTATATGGGTTGTTCTAGTTTTAGGGAAATGCGAAGATTAGCTTAATTTTTAGAAAATTTTCTTCACTTTTAAAATCGTCTTCGGACTAATTTCCACAAAAATATTGTTGACTTGAATCAGTTTGCGTGTTTTATAATAGACATGCGTGTTAGAAATATATATTCTAAACCGATAAAACGTAAATACTCACAGAATAGCATGCTACTACCACCACCACTAAAGTACCTGAACGATTATTTATTATTAATGTCACTACAATCCACTAAGATTTCATTTTAACGCTCGAATAAATTCCCAAACGGTTTTACAATAATTGGAATGAATATATTGATGTCGATTTTAGATTGTACCTAGCAAAAGTCACAAGAATGTCTAAAAGTATCATAAATTGTAAAGTTTTTAAAAAATCACCTTTATCAAAACTGCTCTCGATATAATTTACAAAATTCCAATTAATGATATACTGAACCCAGTTATCGTTTCTACCATTAAATTTACCGAATGTCTAAATGTAAATAGGTAGGTATTTCATTAAACCTGTGATACAAAACATTTACGACAAACAGATCGATCAAATAGATACAGATAATTAGTATTTTCGAAACTCATTTAGGTTAGATTTTAATTAAACGTTACTGTGAAAAATTTTTAATAATAGACAGTTAAAGTACAAATTCAAACGTTTTTCGTATAACAAACAACATTATTTTGAACGACATAATATAAATAATTAATCTCGTACATTAGTATTTAAACAAACAAAAAATAGTAAATATAGCGTCGCCGCCATTGGTAAAAATTATGCATGCTGAAACAATTCATTATTACAAATATCGTAGGCTGTTTATTTAATTACCGGCCAATTGTTTTCCGAAATTCAGAGTCCATTTGAAACCAATAAACATGACTTTTAATTCAAACCCTAATTCGAAAATGTCCCCGTGGCAACAGAAACCACATAAACAATTAAATCAATTCGCTTGTACAAGGTAAAATTAATCAAATGGAACATCGACTATCAAAACTGCGAAACATAACACTAAAACCTGAAGTTTCACTAAAATCCTTTTGAAAATTTTATAAAAAATGTTCCTCCTACGTTTAACCTAAGCATTCAACTGGTACCACACAACCCCCGACGGGGGTTAGGTATCTTAAATACCGAAAAGTCTTTTAATACTTTTTGAAACAGGCATACGTGAAAACCCCAACCTTAATTGATTTACGCAAAAAAAGTTAAAATAAATAAAATAGTCCTAAGACTGGTTGGACACGCACGTCCACTCTTTCCTATCCTGAGGGCTAATCTTCGCATTTCCCTAAAACTAGAACAACCCACATCCTTAACTATTTGCGAAGAGTAATCTAATCTAGGTCTACCTCTACCCCTCCTAACTCCTGTTTCTGCCTCTAATATCTCTCTGACAAAACCTTCATACCTGAGAAGTTGTCCTACCAACCTATCTCGCCTATTTCTTCTTGACTTCCATAGAGTCCTCTGTTCTCCTATTCTTTTTAACATCTCTTCGTTTCTAACCTTCTCTATCCACATCCTCATCATTCGCCTGTAAAACCACATTTCGAACGCTTCTAACATTTTCTTTTCCGCAGCGTCCATCGTCCATGTTTCGCACCCGCACAGCGCTGCGCTCTAAACATATATCTTTAACAATCATTTTCGAATTTCTAAATTAACCGAAGTGACTTTTTTTATTGAAGGCGACTCGACCCTGCGCTATCCTCTGCTTTATATCCCTACCACTCCTTTCGTCCTGACTTATCTGACTTCCTTGACACCTAAAATCAGTCACTTCTTCTAATTTTTCGTCTCCTACTTTTATATTCGCTCTTTCCCTACGTTTTCTTCCGCTACATAGCAGCATTTTTGTGTTACTTATATTTATTTTTATACAATACTGTTTTGTCAATACCGCTTCCATTTTATTTAAAGCCATCTCCAACTCCTCCTTGCTAGATGCTAATACTGCTATCATCATCATCATAAGGTCATCAGTCCTAAGACTGGTTGGACACGTACCTCCACTCTTTCCTACCCTGAGCTAAACTTCGCATTTCCCTAAAACTAGAACAGCCCACATCCTTAACTATTTGCGAAGAGTAATCTAATCTAGGTCTACCTCTACCCCTCCTAACTCCTGTTTCTGCCTCTAATATGTCTCTGACTAGACCTTCATGCCTGAGAAGGTGTCCTACCAACCTATCTCGCCTATTTTTTATTGATTTCCATAGAGTCCTCGGTTCTCCTATTCTTTCCAATACCTCTTCATTTCTAACCTTTTTTACCCACGATATCCTCATCATCCGCCTATAACACCACATTTCGAACGCTATATCATCTGCAAATCTAAACATACTAATTTTTTTATTCCTGTATATATCTATCCCTGATGCAATATGATCCAATAAAAAAGAAAAAATAAGCCTGAAATAAAGTAAAGTAGCTAGGTGAAATAAATGACATAAGAAAAGGCCTAGAGAATGGAATTTAATATAGTTGCTCATTTATAGAACGACACGGAAGTTAGTAATAGCGTTCTTAGTCAGTAATAGCGTGCTTAATAATAATAGTAAACTGATAACAATGGTGTAATTTAAGGAATCATCAAAGCTTTCTGCGCTCCATTACGCAACACGTACCTGCCTATATTGGGTAGCAGATAATGTAATAGCCTCGATATCGAACTCAGAACCGTTTGATGCCCTTATCATGAACCAGATTTATCTGGTCGATTATTAAGATGATACGAAAAAGGGTGATACGTATAGATATCACACTTCATTTAAGTAATAAACACTCAAGGAGCAGCAAATTTTGTAATGTTGTGTATCTACTTATGCCAAAATACGTATTCTAACTGAAAAATAACATATAAAATTAATAAAATCACCGTGATAACATTAACTTACCACAGCTACACAATTGTAGACACCTCAAACACCTAACACCGCGTTTAGTTTTGGTCAACAATGATATTCATTGAAAAAATGTAATAGATTATGTACTAATGAGTGAAAACGCTTAACTAAATCCAACCTAACAACGTACACAATCACGCCAACAACCAAAGCTCTGAAATCCTGCAGAAGTTCCACGCATTGTTCAAACAATAGCCAAGTTCAACATTCTCTCTCGCCAAATTTTCCCAATAATCCGCATTTTTTTCATATTACCTACTCGTCAACTACCTCTCCTGTTTTATTTCCTAATTTTTGTTGTACTAAAGTGATACTTAACCGAACACAAGCACTCTTTCGTACTGAAGCTTTCTCTCATATTAATCGACGAAGAAAAATTACTTGCTACAAAAAATATGATATAACTAAGTAGTAGATAGAACTTTAGCTTAACTAGCACGTTAATTATAAGATAACTTTCCTAATTAATTAAGAAGGAATAGATAGGAGCTTACAGAAGAAACAATAAGATATTACAGGATAAGTTGTCAGTACCTAACGTCAAGAAGGAATAGCACACGAAAATTTATATTACAACATAAAGACAGAGTAGTAGAGGGTTTCTATTAAGACACTGTGCAGTTTACATTTAAAACTCTAATGAGACAAAATTGTGTTTTCTTCCCTTTTTGTGCTTGCCTTCTTCTGGCTGTAACTTTTTAGTCTTATTAATGTACAATGTACATAGCTTGTTTTTGTTCTTCATGCAAACGTATTTCGCCGAACTGAATGTAATTAAAGTTTTCACTTCCAGTACAATTGTAATAAGCATTTCAAATTATCATAAATATTTATTAGTCTCAAAAATAGCGCCTCGAAACAAATTTAACTTTGTTCAAAGACATACACTAAAACTTCTAAATATTCTAAGAAGACGAAAGCACATAACAAACAATCAAAATTCCCCAATAAGAAAGATAAGAGATTCATATTTATATTCAAATTGTGGTCCCCAAAGAACTAAATATTAGTTTGCAATTTCCATCAAATCAACAATGCTGAAAACTTTGGTGGTGTTGTTAGAACACACCAAACAACTCAAAACACGACACTAAAAATCCGAAGTGTTTTTCAGTAACAAAGTTGCCTTCTTCAGGGACTGGATACGCAAAAAAAGTGTAAATTTCGCCCAATCGTAATGCAAACAATAAATCATAATTAACAGTCTAAAGTTTTGTTTGCCATAAACAATACGAGTTCACACTGGCGCTTGGAAAATAAAAGCGCTAACAGGAGCTTTCAATTTTCACGTTTATTTAATGAAAAACTGAACTTGTTAAATTGAGCGAAATGAAATTTCCAAATGGCATGCGATTATGCATGTGTGCCTAGGCATTATGTGAATAAACTGGTGTAGGTACTCTGCCCTTAATTGTCCATTAAACAACACTGTATAATGATACAATTAAAACATATTTTATTTAACTCTACTGCATAATATTAATCATAATTTTCCATATATCGAAGCCGATGTATTGTAGTATTTTTCCATATTGTTAGCGTAAATTTTCAATAAACAATTAAAAAACGATCTATTAGAAAGGATAGGCTTACCTTAACAGATGAAACGATTTTCATTTTGTGCATCCGGGGCCATTTTCTTCAGCTTTTCTTCTGCTGTATTTCAAGTCTGTTCAAAGTCCGTTTAATTTAGATTCACCACACATGTTGTAGTCAAATTGCACAAAACACCTTTTTATAAATCAATTAATCGATTTAACGATTACACACGCGAGTACGATTTTTCGCTAATAACAGTAAACGAATTATCACGTACGATCGGTAACAGGCGAACGAAAGCCGCTTCTATCATGCAGGGACGTGTTGTAGCAGTACCTAAGTAACTAACGCATGCGCTTCGTCGTGGAAAATTCTCGAAGCTTTCATAGAGATTAGGAAAATTATAATATTTATGTCTATAGTCTGTTTTTGACTTTTCTTCTATGAAACAAGTACTTACATTCATAATCAGAATAATTGACCACTGAAAGCAACTGAATAAAATAACAAATTCCAACACAGCTTGCCGACTTTTCTCGCAGAGAGCGTAAGCATACAGGATCAATCAGATGTGGTAAGCGTTTGTTATCGTCATCGTCAGCTTTTTATCAAACAGGCAGATACCCTTACGTTGAAAAGGACGTTATTCAATATAGTGAATAACACAATTTTCTACGTAAATAATAACATTTATTACAAATTTATTATCCATAAGCAATACGAATTCACACCGGCGTTAATTACAACGTTTAATTCTTCGCGTTTATTTAATGGAAAACTGAACTTGTTAAATCTAGCAAAATAAAATTTCTAAATGAGAGATTTGCGCCCAGTTAACAAAAGTTAAAATGTAAACCCTAACGTTACAACAAAATTACTGTTTATTCTTGTTTTCTTTCTTTACCCTTTAAGGTCAAGAAAAATACGATAGGTACTACGGAGAACAGAGACAAATTATTTTCTTATGCCTGAATGAGTGCGTACCTGTCAGGAATATTTCTACCAATGAAATATACACTTGGTGCAGAAAGTTAGGAGTCAAATTCAGTTTTTCGTAGTAGCTTTTAAGGATGAATGGATGGGATAATTTGTCAGAGTTGGGTTCATTCATGGTAACAAATTTGCGTCCTCTAAATTAAAACCCAATGCAGTGTAAAGTCTGTACAAAGCAAGGAAGATGCTGTATTTTTCGAACATTATTTATGTTTCGAAGTCCAGAACGTTTAATAATCTGGACCTAATACGTCCGCACAAACAGGAGCGAGTCATTTGACAATGAGATTTATTTCGCATACGAACAACTGCAATTGTTTTGAATCAATTGTGCAGTGTTGTACAACTCAAGCAAACTTTTGATTTAGCGTCTAGCAATTTCATTGTTGGGTTATAATTAGGGAAATACCATAGCATTTAACGATTAATAGCAAACTAAAATTTCGAAAGACGTAATATCGACTTACTCGAATAATCCTTGAGAAAATGTGCTTGTGTGCCATGTTAAATTGTTAAATGCAGGTAATGCGTGCAGTATTGTGCTTATTATATGCTAATAATGTTCGCCTTGTAGATTAAGTAATGCCAAAGATGTTAGTAATAGAAAAGTGCATCTAGATAAACCTGGCACGCTTAAAACGCCCTAAAGTTGCACGATCAACAAAATAATAATGTAGGAATGTTCCTGTTTATAATTTATTTGCTGCTTTTTATTGCATCTATTTAACTCATTCGTTGAAATTTGTTTATTTACAAAAGCAAAAGTGATTTGTGTTATATTGTATAATACAAATTCAGTTAGACAGTTGAAAGTTAAAGGGTTTGTTCGCCCGGAAGGCCGCCTGTAAAGCTCTGGAAATCCCCGATTTTAATTTTACAGGTTGTTTCTTCAGAAGCCCGCAAATCCAGACCTACTATATATCATATTCTTTTGTCATACACAGCTGACAGTTACTCTCCTCCTAGGATTAATATTCGGGAGTAAAGTACGTATTTAAAGTAGACCTTTTTGTCCTGATAAAGGCTACTACATTTAAGTCTATTTTCCAGGCTTATATGGTCTTCAAAGGTCATGATAAAACTGACGAAAGTTCCGGCGCAATGATCTCTAAATCTCATACAAGTAAATTTATTGGCAGAGCTCGCATTTCCAATTCATTGTATACCAGCACGAATTCGTCTGGTGCAAACGCCGAACTGAATGAGATCAACGAAGAAGAAATAAAAAACGAATTTCAACGCCTTTACACCCAGCTAGAAATGCTAAGAGAACGAAACATGCGATTCGGAAACAGACATTTAGTTCTGAAAATTGCTGCGATGCAAGAAGCGGCCAGTAGATTCGAAGGGACAAACGTTCAACGAGAAATTTACGATGTCGTAGTGGAAGGCCAATTGCCGAAAGATAACACGAAACATACAAAACATACAAGCATATCATTTGTAGATACAATTGACGAAGAAGTACAGAGTAACAATTCGCCAATTACTTTGATCACCAAAACTATTACTGAGAATGAGGGCGAAGAAGTCATCTCGATAAAGTCAGGGGATGAAAGTTTGTCCGCAGAAAGCAAACTAATAAAATCCGGACATGCAAAAACGCATTCGATTGTAATAAATTTAGACGACAAATCCAGATTTACTGAAGAAGTCAGTGTATAAAACCAAACATTGGTGTTAGTCAACCTTTAAACAAAACCCATCCCTTTTCATCTTTCACAACGAATTCGTTAATATTATACCTTTATAAGTGTATTCATGGAGATTTTCGTCTGCCTTTGCTGATAATATAATAATAATAATCTAAACTAGGTACTGTCTTTGTCGTACAGTCAACTGCAAAAATCCCAACTGTTTGTTGTCGTTTTAGTGTACTTCCTGATAACAATTAAGCGATTGTATGTCAGACAACAAAAAAAAAAAAAAAAAAA